AAAATAAATAAAATTTAAAAAAAAAAAGAAAAAAAAAACATACACATGGCAGTTTCAGCATGACATAATTCAAACTACCTGCCAAAATTTTGCAGCCTCCAACAGCAGGGCAGTTTAGGGAAATCAAATGCACAGCGCTAGCCAGATGCTGTTCTAGTCAATAGCACTGAGACGGGCCTGAGCTACGGAGCTGATAGTAGTGGAATTTATCCCCTCTTGAATGTGTTTGGGAAATAAGGAAAAAGAAAGAACCAAAGGTTGGGGAAGAGAAAGGGTAATGAAGTGGGTGACAGAGGTATGCATGTTTTTGCAGTGAAACCTGGGAAGAGTTAGAAGAAAAAACTGAGGGAACTTACACTTGAGCGTTGACTATGATTAAATGGCAGAAGCCAGGAGCCAGAGGCTGCAGCAGTACAGATGGTCAGCTCCTCCAGGCTGCCAAGATCAGCACGGGTTCACAGTTCTCAGTTACTCCTTTGCCTTGAATGATTACTTGTAACAAAAAGAATTTAAACTTTACTTCTAATTCTATGTTTATTGCTGTATTTGTTAGGAATTTTGTTGCCAAGGCGCAGAAATCTAATTCAAACAAGCTTGATTAAAAATGGATGGTGTTGTCTGGCATAGCTGGGGAAGACCCTAGAGTGGTTCGTGGAGACGAGGGAGAAGCTGCAGAAACAGAATTCTACCTGTGTGCCGAGGCCCCGGTCAGGCCCAATTCCTGACTTCCTTCTTATCTTTACTTCTCTGTGTGTGCCAGTCTCAAACTGTGCTTTCCTAGACAAGCATCCCCGTGCAGCCGTGAAAGTGTTCCCAGGCAGCCCCTAGCTTACGTGCTGACACCGTGTTCCTAGCCGGTGAGGGGAATTCCCATGGAGAACTCTGGCCCAGCCTGCTGTGTGCCCTGCTCTGAACCAACCTCGTGGCTAATGGGATGGAATGAATCAGTTGGCTAGGCCTGGATTGTGTGTAGAGTCCTGCAGTGGAGTTTGTATCTGAACTTCGCCAAATGGTCGTTTCCCCAGAGGAAAAGTGAGGTGAAACCCCAGGCAGTGAAACACCGGATGTTCTCTACAGCTTGGAATCCAGCGGGCAGAGCGGGAGGTTTTTGCGCAGCCTTCAGTAACTGGGGCATAAGGTAGCTGTCTGCCACGCTGTCCTCTCGATGTATGCACCATCCGTGACAGGACACTGTAGCACACGCCTTCAGTCTGTGATGTTCATTGCCTTTTCATCACTTATCTTTTTTGCCACATTTTTTTTATAACTTAGGCAAGAAATTATAAATCTGCAAGCATGGTCTGGCACGTTCACAGCCTATACTAACAATTACTGTTTTGTGTGAGAAAGGCTCTGTGCCCATCTTAATCACACATCGTGTCTTTGCCAACTTCAGCCCTGTACCCACATTTACTAGTCCTTCCTTGTACTTGAATTTGTAAATTGTAGGGCTATCCCAGATTACTGACCGGAGCAAGTCATAAACCAAGCCAGTACTGTACGGGGTACACGGTGTCTATGTGGAAATGTTGCTAGTGACCTGCTTTCCTGCTTGTGTTAGTGCTTACTAGTCAGTTTCTATATATTTGATTAACTGTACACTAATCTGGACTGGATTGGCCATGCTATATTCTGCCTAGCTAAGGGTCTATATCACACCTGAGAATAAAACATGACTCCAAATTAAAGTTTAATTTTTATTTATTTCTTTATCTTACAGAAAATTTTATTGCAGTATAACCTACATGCAGATTGTGCATGTTTCAAAAGTGTACAGTAGGATGGAGAGATACCAAGTGAATATACCCATGTCATCACAAACCATCTTGAGAAATAGAACATTACCAGCACCCCAAAGCCTTCCTCTTGCCTCTGCCCAGTTATTATCCCCACTAGGCAAAGGACCCCACTTTTCACATTCGAACACCATAGATTAGATTTGCCTGCTTTTGAACTTCACGTAAATGAAATCATGCAGTGTGTATACTTTTGTATCTGGCTTCTTTCACTCACCATTATTTCTGTGAGATTTATTTATTTGCTGCATGGAGTAGTAATTTATCCTTTTTCATTGCTGTGTAGTATTCTATCGTAAAATATGCCACAGTTTTTTAATCCAGTCTCTTATAGATCAACATTGGGTTGTTCTCTGGTTTTGGCCATTGTGAATAAAACCACAATGACCATTCTCAGACACGTCACATGATGCACATATGTAATTATTTCTATTAGGTATGTTCCTAAGGGTGAAGAGTTGCTGGATCTAAGTATACTTTAATATTTAATCCTCCCTTTAAACATAACCTGCTTGCTGTTTAAGGGTGGTGAGGGGCCTATGAAAAATCAGAACATGTCCCTCCTTT